CCTCCCTTCCCTCCACCAACCCAGGCCCCCAACTGACACCTGACTGACACCCTCCCCCCCCCTCTCCGCCAGGTCTGCAGAACGAGAACGTGATGGCTGCCGAGTGGGAGAAGTCAGCAGTGTCAGAGCTCGACGTGACAGCCACGGATCTCTCGGCTGACTGCCTCATTGACCTGCTGACGCGCATCCCGGCTCTCAGGTGGCTCAGCGCCGGTCAGCTCGACGGCTTCACTGATGCGGTGAGGAAAGGAGATTTATTTTTGCATTTTTGTGATGATTACGGGATTTTTTTTTTTTTTTGTGATGATTGTGGGAGATTTCTTTTTTTTTCTTTTCTTTTTTTTTTTGTTCTTTTTGTGATGATTATGGGAGATTTATTTTCTTTTATTTGTTTGTTATGTGGTTTTTTTTGGATTAGTCGTGTAGGTTTTGAGAATAGTTATGTAGGTTTTTTGATTAGTTATGGAGGCTTTTTTTTAATTTGTCATGTAGGTTTTAAGAATAGTTATATAGTTTTTTTTTAATTAGTTAAGGAGGCTTTTTTAATTAGTCATGTAGGTTTTCAGATGAGTCATGTAGCTTTGTAGATCAGTCATGTATTTTTTTGGTTACTAACGTCGAATTTTCTATTGGGAGTTATGTTGTATCAGCATTGCGCACTACCTTTAATATTAGCGATGCAATATTTTATATCAGTACTGTTACATTTAATCTTAGAAATGTGATCTCTCCTTCAGTAATCCATTTTTTCATATATATATGTGTGTGTGTGTGTGTGTGTGTGTGTGTGAGTGTGTGTGTGTGTGTGTGTGTGTGTGTATTTACCTTCCACCCTTTTTTTATGTCAAACTCATAACTTCTTTTATAAAACCCCCCTTTCTCACCCCTTTCCTCCTTCCCTCCCTCCCTCCCGCCACAGGTCCTGAAGGCGTGGACGGAGCGGGGCAACCTGAAGGCCCTGATCGGCTTGGACCTGGAGCTGTGCGACAACCTGACGGAGGAAGGACTCTACAAGTTCCTGGCGAGGTACGGCCAGGGGCTCCGCGGTCTCGTCCTCTCCGGCATCCCTCAGTGCACGGATTCCCTCTGCTCCAACGTCATGCCGGCGCTCAAGAATATTCGGTGAGTGTTCGGGGTGTCGAGCCTGGTTTTATTCGGGATACTGGGTGAATTTTTGGATGTCGGTGAGTTTTTAATAGCATAAGGTAGGGTTTTGTGGGTATTAGGGGAGTTTTTAGGGTATCAGGTGAATCTGAAGGACATTAGGTGAGTTTTAAGACCAGCAGGTGAGTTTTAGGGACATCGGGTGAGGTTTAAGGGATAAGTTTCATGGTATCAGGTGAGTTTAAGGGTATCGAGTGAGTTTTAAGGGCATCAGATGCGTTTCAAGGCCATCAGATGAGTTTTAAAGGTATCAGTTGAGTTTTAAAGGCATCAGGTGAGCTTTAAGGGCAGCAGGTGAGTTTCAAGGGCATCAGGTGCATTTTAAGGGCATCAGATGAGTTCGTAGGATATTTGAGTTTTTAGGATGTCGGGGGGGGAGGGGGGGAGTTAGCATGCTGTATAGGCTTTAAAGATATCAATAAGGTTTTAAAATATCGGCTAAGTTTTTAGGTTAGTTCCAATGAGTTCGGGTGAGTTTCAGGGAAATTGGGCGAAATCTGATTGTGTCACGGGAGCCGTAAGGACGTCTGGGAAATCCTGAAAGACATCAAATAGCGTTTTTTTTTTTAGAACGTCAGGTTATATAGGAAAAGAAGATGAGTCTCCATTACATCAGGGAAGTTTTAAGAATGCCATGCACACTGTCATGAGGTGTGTCGATGAATTAAGGTTATCAAGTGAGCTGTCACTGAGCTGTCATTGAGCTGTCACGGAGCTGTCAGTGAGATTACGTCTGGGAGTGTGAGACGGGCGTATGAGGCGACAGGTAGAGTGGTGCTCATTGCGGCGAATGTAGAAAAAAAGACTTGGATGAGAATGAGAATATCTTCTCGTTTTTTTTACCGGTTTCGGTTTTATCTTCGTCAGAAATGCCACAATACATCAGTGAGGTTACTAGATTACTAAGCATATGTATGTATTTCTATCGAAGATATATATTTATATATGTGTATATGTATATGTATATGTATATGTATATATAATGATGATAATGATGATAACAAAGATGATGATAGCAGAAATGCCATAAAATTATAATAATAACATTGACATTAAAAAAAAAAACTTTATAAAAAAAAATAAGGAAACCCTGACCGGACATCTCTCCATCACAGAATCCTGAAGCTGGGCCTGGCGGAGAACCTGGCATACCGCATGGCCGGCAAGATCCACGTGGACGGCCTGCTGGAAAACCTGTCTCGCTACGGCGCCAAGATCGAGCGCCTGGAACTCAGCTGGGACCCGGAGACGCTGCGCTACTCGGACAAGAGCCAGAAGTGCATTGACACCCTGAGAGTGCGCTGTCTGAACCTCAAGTGTTTGGTGTTGTGGTAGGTTGCTGTGGTAGATTTGATGATGTTGTTCGGTATATTATGATGTATAGATGTGATGTGGGTGTTATTTTCCTCTTCCTCAGCTATCGGTCTTTCTTTCCCCAGTATTCTATTTCTTCTCTGCATTAATTACCTTCGTTAGTGGTCTCTTTCCTCTTCTTTTCACACCCTCCCTCCTTTGATATTTTCCTCCCTTCTCCATAATGCTCCTCCCTTCTCTTCTCCTTTCCTCTCTCATACCCTTCCCCTATATATTTCCTTCCTTCCACCCTCCCTCCCCCTTCCTTCCACCCTCCCTCCCCCTTCCTTCCACCCTCCCTCCCCCTTCCTTCCACCCTCCCTCCCCCTTCCTTCCACCCTCCCTCCCCCTTCCTTCCACCCTCCCTCCCCCTTCCTTCCACCCTCCCTCCCCCTTCCTTCCACCCTCCCTCCCCCTTCCTTCCACCCTCCCTCCCCCTTCCTTCCACCCTCCCTCCCCCTTCCTTCCACCCTCCCTCCCCCTTCCTTCCACCCTCCCTCCCCCTTCCTTCCACCCTCCCTCCCCCTTCCTTCCACCCTCCCTCCCCCTTCCTTCCACCCTCCCTCCCCCTTCCTTCCACCCTCCCTCCCCCTTCCTTCCACCCTCCCTCCCCCTTCCTTCCACCCTCCCTCCCCCTTCCTTCCACCCTCCCTCCCCCTTCCTTCCACCCTCCCTCCCCCTTCCTTCCACCCTCCCTCCCCCTTCCTTCCACCCTCCCTCCCCCTTCCTTCCACCCTCCCTCCCCCTTCCTTCCACCCTCCCTCCCCCTTCCTTCCACCTTCCACCCTCCCTCCCCCTTCCTTCCACCCTCCCTCCCCCTTCCTTCCACCCTCCCTCCCCCTTCCTTCCACCCTCCCTCCCCCTTCCTTCCACCCTCCCTCCCCCTTCCTTCCACCCTCCCTCCCCCTTCCTTCCACCCTCCCTCCCCCTTCCTTCCACCCTCCCTCCCCCTTCCTTCCACCCTCCCTCCCCCTTCCTTCCACCCTCCCTCCCCCTTCCTTCCACCCTCCCTCCCCCTTCCTTCCACCCTCCCTCCCCCTTCCTTCCACCCTCCCTCCCCCTTCCTTCCACCTTCCACCCTCCCTCCCCCTTCCTTCCACCCTCCCTCCCCCTTCCTTCCACCCTCCCTCCCCCTTCCTTCCACCTTCCTTCCACCCTCCCTCCCCCTTCCTTCCACCCTCCCTCCCCCTTCCTTCCACCCTCCCTCCCCCTTCCTTCCACCCTCCCTCCCCCTTCCTTCCCCTTCCCCCCCCTTCCGCCCTCCCCCACCCTCCGCCTCCCTTCCTCCACCTCCTCTCCTTCCCTCACCCTCCCCTCCCTCCCCCTTCCTCATCCCCCCCCCCCTCCTTCCACCTCCTCCCTTCCCCTTTCCTCCCCCTCCTCCCTCCCACCCTTCCCCACCCTTCCCTCCCTCACCTCCCTTCCCTTCCTCCCCCTCCCTCCCTCCCCCTCCCCCCCCTCCCTTCCACCTCTTCCTTCCCTCCCACCCTTCCATCCACTAAAACCCCGTCTCCTCTCCCGCAGCGACGGCAAATATTACGAGATCGTCAAGGCCAACTTCGAGCGCGCCGACCGCACCACCGTCGTCCGAACGTCCACCAACTGCTGCGTGTCCATCGTCTACCTCCTCACGCACTACAAGGACCTCGTCTTCAATTAAAGGGCGTAGGAGGGGAGAGAGGAGAGAGAGAGGAAGAGAGAGAAGAAGGTCGATGGGATGGAGGATGGATGATGATGAATAGAAGAAAAGATAGAGATGGGATGGGATTGATTTTTTTTTTTTTTTTTTTTTTGGGGGGGGAGAGGGTATTGATTGGGAAGGTTTTTCTTTTTAATAGGCAGGGGGGAGGGGGGGTGATTGAATGGTTTTGATTGATTAAAGTTTTTTTTTAATAAAAAAGAAGGGCGAAGGGGGAGGGGGGTTGTCGAAAGGATTAATTTGTTTATTAAGATAAAGGATATACGATATACTGGATTTGAATCAGAGAAATAGATCCGATAGATTATATCTGAAACGAGGAGAAGGGACAGAAAAGGAAGGGATTATAATGGTAAAAGATAAAATAGTAAAATTCAAATGATGAAAAAGAGAACACCAGAAAATGTAATGAAAATGGGTAGGAAGGGAAAAGGACACACTAAATTAGAAAGAAAGGATGAGAATAAATGGGATCGTCTGAGAAGGCTGAGAAAAGAGGAAGAGAGTAATAAATAAAGAATGGAAAAGAAGACAGGGAGATAGCGCAATTGTGAGAAGGTTGAGAAAGAGTAGGACGATAATGAGCCTCAGAGAGATAAAAGTAATAAAAAGTAATAAAAAGTAATAATGCAAACGAGTAAAATAAGGGAGAAGATACACCTAAATGTGAATTCATCTCGAGTAAGCAATATCGAGAGAAAATAAAAGACCATATCTATGAAAGGAAAAATCCAAAAAAATCCAAAACTGACAGAAAAGGATGCAAATAAAAAACAAAAACACTTTATATTTCATTGGGTCATCATGTTGGCCTAAGAGCGCAATTCTAACCTCCAAGCTGTAAACAGAAGGGAGTTAGAATCACGGTAAAGAAGGCTAAAACCACGCAGAGCGATTAGCTTTTGTTTAACCGATGAGTATATTTTCATAAACGTGTAGCAGTGCCTTATTCATGCTTTATCATCACGTGATATGCGGTTGCCTTCTTGCACCGTCCAGATTTGCAATAGTTGCAATACCTAAGTCCCCTTGTGGGTATGGAGAGTATTGAAAATTATTGCCAAGTTTCCAGTGAGCGAAAAATTTTCACAATCCTATTATTTTAACCGTGAATAATGAATGATCCTCCATTTCCCGCAAAAAAATCATCATTCATTATACACTGTCTAGTCAATTGCAGTTGTTATCTTATTTGTAAATTGTTTGTTCCTATCTTATTAAATGTTATATCTGAATGGTTTCGTTTGGCTTTATCCTTCCTAAGTGAGTTTGGGTTATATCTCCATTGACAGGAAAACTATACATGTGAATTGACATAAACAAACTATGTATCTGGCGCATTGTTTGTCACATTCCCAGAATTTATGTGATTTGTAATTATACATTTGTTCAGTTGCATCTCTACGGCAGCTAATTATCTTAAAAGGAATTTCTTAGTTTATTATACGTAGATGTTCAGTCTACGTATCTGGTTATTTTGTGATAACAAGATTTTCATGATATTAGATTCTAATCTGAGCGATTCTCCATTGCTTATAAGTAATAATTGTGAAATAATGATGATAAAGAAAAATTATGACTTCCGACAACCGATTTTAACAACTCACAGGCAGCTGATAACAAAAATATGATTATTTCCGTATATCTATTTTTTCTCAGTCAAATTGTCTCTTTGTTTTCTGAATGGATTAAACTCTGACCTTGTTATAAATTGGTAATGTAAAAAGTCAAAGGCGCTTTTCTTAGATTTTCATTGCATCTTAGAATATCTTTCATCTAGTAAAAGAAAGTAATTAAGGGGAAAAACATGCTCTTTAACCTGATATAAACATCTCAGCTAGAAATCATAACGATTGCCAAGTGTTTCCTAATAACAGGGGATCATCTTCAAACTAACAAACATTTCTGAACAACTTACCCACGTTTTTTAACTGACAAATATCTTCGAAGAATCAACAAACGTTTTTGGATAACTGACAACCTGACAAACGTTTTCTACCGACTGACAGACGACTGTTTATACAGAAGAGCCTCCCTTTATTAAGCAATATATATGATCCTAAAAGACTATTGGTATTCTTGTATGAAATCGATTCACTCCCGCTATGCTTATTTAGCTCTTTTATGAAACATCATTTGCACTTTAAAGAATCTGTAAACTGCCTTTATCAAATTTACAGTATGAAGGGAATGGCTGAGTTTATATAGTTTATGTATTTTTTTTCTTAATCGAAATAAGATCACAATAGTCTAGAAAGCATAAGGGGGCGAAGGAACTCCATTTAAGAGGCATAAGAAAAATAATAGATCTTGAGACTTTTTTTTATTCGAGTAGTTTACATTGAAATAAAAATATTTTGAAAACGACTCTTTTATCTTCTTTAATCACTTTCCTCTTAAGTCATTTTCCTGAATGATACGTTTTCTTCAAATCTTATTCAAGATTTTCACTTTTCCAAGACACATACACATCCAATTGTATAAAAGATTTTCAAAATTGTTCGTTCATAATCACTAGTGACGTCATTCTACGGTTAGTTGCGCATTGTTTCTCTCTTTTCTTTCGTTCCGAGTTACCAATAGGAAAAATACCCAAAAAATCTTTTATTTGTTTATCTGGTCTTTTATTTGTATATCCATTTATCTGTTATTTTATTACGTCTGCTTTGCATTACTTCCATCTTTCTCTTCTTTACTTTATTTTTCTGCTTCTCCTGTTTTTTTGTTTTGTTTTTTTATCACGTTTTTCAGGTATAATACTGACACTTCTTCACGGGTGGAAGTCCGCCCAGGAGAGGGCTGGCTGCCGTCTGCCGCGCCTCTCCTCCCACAACCTCGAAGTACTGGCCTCTGTAGGAAATGACTTGGAAGCATCGCATGACTTAGGAAATAGGTTGCCTTCAGACCGAGGAAACGAGGAGACAAACTGCTCCCGGTGACGCTGAGTGCGGAAAGGGTGGCTGCCGGCTCCGCGTGTCCCCCGCGCGAGCCCGCAGAGCAGGCGGAGGGAGCGGCCTCGGGCACGCGACGCTCGCCGGGGAGAGCGGCCTCGGGAGCTGAAGCCCTGCGACCGAGGTTGCCATCGGGCGGGCTGCTCAGTCAGGGGCGCCCGTGGCCGTAGTGCTGGGGGCGGCCGCCTTGGCAGAGCTGCTGGACACGGCGGTGGACGTGACGGACGCCTGGAGGAAAAGGGCGGAGCGGTGGAGCGGGAGCTGGGGCGCTGCCAAGGAGGACCTCGAGGGCGTCAGGCTCGGGGACGGCGAGCGAGGCTTGGCGGCGGCACC